GTATGCAAAGCCACCCAGGACTTCGGTGACAAGATTTGCATTTTTATCTTGCAGCCTACTTGGAGGAGATCCAGTCGGTGCGTCGCCACACCAACAGCATGCTGGAGGGCACCAGGAACCGGCACCCTCCCATCGTGGTCCACTGCAGCGCCGGCGTGGGCAGGACCGGCGTGGTCATCCTCTCTGAGCTCATGATCTACTGCCTGGAGCACAATGAAGTGAGTCACTCTGGGCTTCCTACATACTCCACCTTGGGGGCAGAGCTGCACCAGGACCGAACCTGCGCCGTGTCCTTCTTTTTCGGGGCCTAATTTCCTCCATCCTGACCAGGGCTTCCCAGACCCGTGGTTCCTGCTTGCACTCTGACATTTACAGCCTTTCTTACCTCTTGTCTTAGACGGCTCTGTGCAGACATCCAGATAATAAAGAAGAGAGCAGCGTGTGAGATAGGAGCCGGTTAGAAAGTCTGATCTTGGTTGACATCTGCTTCCAGAAATCTGCAGTGTGTTGTAGACAGTCTGGCTTTCTTGTGGGTCATTTTCCACGGTGGGTTATCTGGTCACATGTGGTGTAGATGTGTCTGGCATGTCTGGGATGNTTGTGGGTCATTTTCCACGGTGGGTTATCTGGTCACATGTGGTGTAGATGCGTCTGGCATGTCTGGGATANTGGTTGACATCTGCTTCCAGAAATCTGCAGTGTGTTGTAGACAGTCTGGCTTTCTTGTGGGTCATTTTCCACGGTGGGTTATCTGGTCACATGTGGTGTAGATGTGTCTGGCATGTCTGGGATGTGTTTTGGCCTGCATCCTGTGTGAACGTGTGTATCGTATTGGAAAGGTTTTTCATTCTTCGGAGGGGGTTTTCTTTCAAGGGGGTAGTTGTTGGCTCTTGTCTAGACCGGCAGTGACATGGAGGAGCAGAGCGGGGCAGACATCCAAGTCCCTTCTCTGAGAGGTCACACCCAGCTCTTCTCCCTGGCGCCCCCCGGGAGCGTGGCATCCCCTTTCTGCTGTAGACCAGGGTATTGCCCCGAGGGGCTTTTGAGTTCATCAAGATGAGACCAAGAGCAGTCAAGGCTAAAGGCCATATACCTTTTATTTATATGGGGCTTTAAAATCGCTTTCACCTTTTTGTCTCAGTGGGGTCCTCATAGCAGCCACGTAGAGGAGCTGGGCACGTGTCTGCCCTGCTTTACAGATGAGGAGACCGAGGCCCAGAAACTGTTCAGTGACTTGTCCGGTGCCACGTGGCCCCGAAGCAGGGGTTGCCACGGTGAGAAGTGAGATCTTCCATCCCCTGGCCCCGTTGTTTCCTGTCTCCACTCTGCCTCCCAACTCCAAGTGTCATTCGGTTCTTGTTCATTTTTTCAAATTATACAGCTTGGAGAATCCGAGGAAACTTTCCAAGTAGCTCGGTAGTTTTTAGGGAACGTTACAACGCACGCCTGTGAAAGAATTTATGTAATAATACACATATTTGCTCACTGGCAGCAGTGGTTTGAAAATCAAATTAACTATTTACCCCACGGAATTTGTTAGAGTATAACTTCCGGGAAAACAATAAATGCTAAATTTAAACAAGTTCAAAGGGCTTTTAAACTCCCTGCCTATAAAAAGTTAATTTTGGAAACTTCCAGTCTGTAGGATGAATGTTGGTGCTGCTGAGAAGTAGAAGAGGGGTCTGGTATAATGCGGCCGAATGTTGAAAAAAACAACGAACTCTGTTGACGAGCAAAAGGTCCCCCCCCGGAATCACTTGAGACCACGCAGCAGAGGCTTCATCATCTTCTATGAGTTTTTTTCCTTTCGTCTCACAGGAGAGTCTTGATTGCTTGCCTCCCTGCCACTATGGGACGTCTGTAGAAGTCTCTGGTAGAGTTAATAGCTTGCCACTAAGTCCCAAAGCCACTCCGTGCTGGAAGATAAGATGAAGTGGAACCAGGGGACCTATAACTTGAGTGTACCGTGGGCTCCACTGGGGGTACTGTGGACTCCGAGGGAGGAAGAAGGGCCTCATCACCCCCTCCCCACCTCCATGCCCCCCCCCTTGTATCACTCTCTTGATCAGATTCCTTCTTGTCTCCATTCCCTGTGCACGCCTCTGCTCCCTGTCCCCCGTTTCAACTTGAGAAGCTATTTTGTCCATCTTGTCTGACGTGAAGGATTGTTCTGTTTTGAGCTCTTTGGAGACCCATCCAAGGCCAAGCCTCAGTAATGCTATGACTCGAAGGCTCATTGATCGCCAGATGTTACCGGCCCGGTAGAACATAAACAGCACATGTCGGAGCCAGCGTGGCGCGGAGCGAGGGATCCGGCCGCTGGGGCCTCGCGTGGACTCGATGAGGGCTCGGGTGATTAAATTCTCTCCGGTGTGTCCAAACATAGCGGATTTCCTCAATGCCCAGTTGCACGCCAGAACATTCTTTGCCGAAACGTGGTCAGTCCAAAAAGAACTTCTGTTCCCATTGATATTCAAAGATAGCCGGATGACTCATTTCTCACTTCCCTTCCCCGGCACAAATATAGCCGCCTTATCTGTCCCGTTTCCCACAGTTGCTGTTGGTAGATGGTTCTCGACTTTGTGCTGTTTCAGGCCTGGCGAGTAAGCTCCAAACCCTTATTTTGGGACTAGAGTGGAACATGTTTAGTTCGTTCACTTTTTTTTCTCCCCAGCAAAGATTTTGACAAATAAATATGAAATCGTATGTCCCATTTTTCTCCTGTCTAAACTTTCCTGCCTCCTTTTCACAGCTTCTGGATTAGCCCACTTTATGTTTTATTCTGTAACCCATGTGATTTTAGTTTTGTAAGTGAAATGCCTTTTCTTTTCCCTGAGACAAAGACATGGGAGGTCAGGTACCTGTGAGGTGGGGATGGGAGGGGACTCACCCAGGCTGTTCTGAGAGGCCTCTTTGTGGCCTGTTGCCTTTGGCCACTGAATGTTACCTGTCATATTTTAATGCCCATATATTTTTTCAGAAAGACTTTTATGGTTTACAACACTCTCTCCTGGACCCTGGATTTAGCTCTCTGTCCCCCATTCGCTAATTACAAAAGACCAGGTTCTCACTAGCCAGATAGCAAGCTGACTTCATCCTGCTGTTTTTCTGAATTAGTCGTCCCTCCTTCATAGAGTAGGAAGGAGAAAACACCTTCTAAGCAAGACTGAGTGGACATCAGAGCCTGTGGGAGTAAATCTTCAAGGCAGCTGTACCTCCAAACTGTACCTTATCAGATAATCTACTGTCCTTGGGGGCTGTCTCACAGGCTATGGAGATGGTGATGCTCATGATGGTGGCGGTGATGGTGGTGGAGATGGAATTGGAGTTGGCAGAGGTGGTGGTGGAGGGAGCCTGGTGGAGGTGATAGTGATGATGACAATAATAAACGTATTATAATAACAACAGTTAACCTGTGTTTAGTGTTTGCCATGTGCCAGCACTATTCTAAGAGCTTTATAGCTTGAGTAGCCTTCACAGTTAACTCTGTGGGAAGGGTCGTATTAGGACCCTTGTGTAGCACAGAGAAACAGAGGCAGAGGTAATGAAGGAACGTGTCCACATCCCACACCCAGGATGTGGTAAAGCAGAGCTGCAGCGGGTGATTGTTCTCATTTGGTAACATTGGTGAAATGATCAAGAGTGGTCTGTATTAGGAACCCACTGTGTGCAGACACTGCGCTCAGTGTTTTACGTGCATTTCTTTACGTGATCCTGGAGGTGAGGCTCACCTATTTATACCCCATGTTATTGTTAAGGAAATGTCACTAACCTGGGTAGGGCCACTCCGCCACTGGAGGAAAGCATCATTATCCTTACTTACAAGTGAAGAAACTAAGACCAAGAGATGTCATAAATCCTACCATTGGGCCATCATAGAGTTTGAGTCGGGTTTAACTCCAGCCTCTATGTTTTCTCCAACACCCTGGTCTCTACTTATTATTATTATTTTTTTAATATATCTTTATTGATTTTAGAGAGAGGAAGGGGGAGGGAGAAAGAGAGATAGAATCTTCAGCGATGAGAAAGTCGTCATTCATCGGCTGCCTTCTGCACGCCCCTGACTGGGGATCGAGCCTGCAACCCGGGCATGTGCCCTGACCAGAAATCAAATCGCGATTTTATGGATCCTAGGTCAGTGCTCAACTGCTGAACTATGCTGACCGGGCTCCCTGGTCTCCATTTAAAATAGCACATCAGTGGTGCATGCCAACCAGTTTCTCAAACTGTTGGCATCGAGTCTTTGATTAGGAAAACCTATAGGTGCTGAGTCCTTTGCTGTCTCTTGTATCTGTGCATGGACAGTGAGTGCTTCTTGGATGAAGGAATGAGAAGTGACCCAAGGGAAGCTCCCCATCTCAGAACCTTGTACTTTCTCTCTTTTCTTGCAGAAGGTGGAAGTGCCCATGATGCTGAGGCTCCTCAGGGAGCAGAGGATGTTCATGATCCAGACCATCGCTCAGTACAAGTTTGTCTACCAGGTCCTCATTCAGTTCCTCCAAAACTCCAGACTCATTTAACCCCCGGACCCAGCTCCTGGAAGAGGGACCTAGCTCCGTCTTGCAGATGGGGAGGCATCTCCAGACAACACCTCTTCCCCCAGCAGGGCATGGAGGGCTGGAGCCGGCAGGACACGGGCTCTCTCATGACGAGAGCCAAGATTATTCATAAACATCATGTATTATTTTATATGAGATAATTTATTTTTTTCCCCTTTGGGATAACTTTTGTGAATCATTGTAATTGCAGTTTTCACAGTAATGTAGTGCTTTTCATTTGAACCACATTTTGACTGATCTGCATTGTAACGCGTCGGTAGGGAAGGTCGCCTGGTGGATCGTTTTGGGGACAGAGGCAGGAGGGAACACATCCCTGGTGAGGTTGCAGCCAGATGGCTAACCAACCCTGAAATTCATCAGCTTAATTGCTCATGTCCAAATCGAAGATGGCAAGAAAATGAACTCATTCTAAAATATAAAGACTAGGGCCAAGGTCTTTTTCTGAAGGAAAGAACACTATTCTCTTATATTTTCGGCTTGGAAGCCTTGATGGACAGATTCTTCCCGTCTTACTTTCTGTCCTTACACTTAGTAGTCTTCCCCTGCCCCCTTCTCCAACCTTGAGTAAAAGAGCAGCTAGAGGAAACGCTGCCTTCACAGTGTAATAATCGTTGCCCAGGCTGAATGAGGAGCTTTGTTTTCATCTTTCTTGACCACCCCTTAATCCGAGCTCTGGAGCCTAAGTTTCCTTGCTGGGGCCTGCACCCTCAGTATTTGCAGCTTCTCATTTGCTCAGTGGGCATCAGGCTGGTGGCCTTGGAGGCCCTGGGCCAGGCCATCTGTGCAGCTCGGCCTCTTGCCTGATTGATAGAAGATAATGGAGCAGAGTGAGAAGAGAAAGGAGACAGGAAGGCCCTTCCTACTGTTTATTCATGATGTGTATGCTGGATGGGGGTGTTCTGTCTGTCCATCAGCCACTAAGTCATTAGAAAGGTTGTAAAGGAAACATGTGGGAAAGCTGATTTATGGGAGCTGTTTGACACTCTGCAGGGCCCTGGCCTGGAGCCATACCAAGCGCTGGTGCCATGTCTAAACTTTGGTCTGTGAGAGCAGAACTAAGCCCACTCGGCCCTGTTGCTGACGTCTTGGCCCACACGATGGAAGATGGTGGAGTTCATCTCGCACAGAGTTTGCTGGTCCCTCCTTTTCTCCATCCAACCCCCTCTGGTCATTTGTGGTGTCAGCGCTGCCTTCAGTGAAGCTTGGTTCTCACTTTGTCTCTTCCTGGGCCTCCACTGGTCACTGTCCTTCGGAATGTCTTAGGTTAGTACACAAATATCCATGCATTTTCCATCTTGCTGAATTTGGGTGGGGATGCCCCTCTTCTCTGGTTTTTCTTGAATGCAACTCTTAAATTGTGGTTTTTGTTCTTTGACTTGATCCCTGTGGTGGTCCACCATGCCTCTTCCTTCCACAGCTGCTTTTATTTCTTCTTTTTCTTTTGTCTTCTCCTGAGCTGAAGATTCAGGGAAAGGAGGCATCAAATCAGCCAGAAAGAAGAGTGTGCCTTTGTGACTTTGGTCACCACAGAGCAACAGATGGGTGTGGGCGCAGGTCCCCATGAACTACTTTGGCTTAGGAATCAACTCAGTTTCACATCTGGCCAGATTTTTCTTTTATTTAGACTCAGAGTTTCCGGTGATGGAGAGCCTTCTGTCTTCTACCTCTAGATTCTTCTAGGTCTAAAGAACCAGTCAAGGGGTCTAATAACTTCAACTGAGCTTTGTAGATTGTGAGATTTTGGTCTGGATTTTGAAAAAGATAACCATTGGCGTGACATGTATTTTCAGTGGGACAGAGCTCACAGCCCTCACTCTGAGATGCTCAGAACTTGGATCATCAACAGGCAAAGAGGTATTTGTTTCCTTTCCTTAGAGATGGCCCATCCTTGGGGTCTGCTGCTGCGAGGGATGTCTGAACAGCTGGCATGCAGTTTCCTGCTTTATTGTTTGATGAACGGTGTCAGTATTTCTCTCTCACCTCGTAGGCCTCAGCGTGGGCGCTGTTGACAGGTCTCGTGTGGGCAGCGTGTAGATCTGTTCTCTCTCTGAGCTCGTCACTCATGGCCCCCTCTTCAGCCCGTCCGCTGTTGCCACCTTGTGCTACAGGAGTATTCATGAATGCACAAAATGCAGGAAAGAAGTGGGTTTAATATCCAATTTCCTAGCCAGAGCTTATATTGAAACCCAAAGGCAAACATTGAAAGTTACTCCCCATCTCTCCTTTTGAAAAACAAGTGCTCTGGGTCCTGCGGCACATTTTGCATGCCTTTTCACACTCAGCAGACGCCAGCCTCTCTCCTGTTCAATTAGCGCTCGCCACTTAAAGTTCTTCCAGCGGCATCTGCATAATCATTGCCCAGAGATGCTTTATATCTGGGAAGCCGGCCAAGGAATAAACCTTGAAGCAAAGTCTATTAAATTAGTTATCTAGTTAGAGCTTTTGGAATGACTTCCTGATGATGCACCGAGTCTGAAGCTGGAGCTCTTGGAATCTGTTGCCGTAGTCTGGGTTTGAAAGGAGAAAATTAAAAATGGGAGGGTGGGGGACAGGGGCAAACTCATCCCACAACAAAGCCGTCACACACTTCCAGGCCTCTGGTTTTGAAGTTGTCCAGTTGAAATGTCTCGATTCTTTCCCCCACACTCATTTGGATGCATCGGCCCGAGTCGAGCCGAGCCTGCCACCTTCTTGATTCCCCTTTCCTGCCCTCCCAGGGGCCTTCAGAGCACATTCCCCTTTATGGCAAGTCACGTTTATAATCAGGGCCCCAGAACTGAGCGGACGCCAGGACAGGGACTGCCATTGTTCCTTGTCTTGTTGGAGGGCATGGCAGGACTGTCTTGTGATGTCACCCTCTTCGTTCAGTTGCACCTCTCCCCCAGGGCTGTGCGTTCCGTTTGCTGGATGGACCAGCTCTCCGTCGGCACATCTGTCCTTTCCCTATCCCGTTAGGGCGACCCCTACCAAACGGTTTAATCCAATCATAGAGAATCACTCTGTAATTAGGAAATCGGATTTTAATTTTTACAAGTTACGTGGTTTCGAGGAGTAAGATCCGGGCAGGTGGAAATAACCAGAATGGGAACAGCTGGGCAGCTGTCAGCAGCCAGGAAGCCGCCTTGGCCCACCCACTCTTGTTCCCTTGGCCATAGCCCCTTGCTCAGCACTAGACGGGCTGAAAGCAGACGGGCTCGGCTGTCGCCCCCGTTCACAGTGACGGTCGCAGCAGTGCCTGCTGCTCCTTCAAGGGGAGCCTGCATGGTTCCCTGCTCCTGCATTGGGCACAGTGGTGTGCGTACCCCGATGAATCTGTTTCTGGCCTCCTCCTGAACCAAGTTCGCTTCATCTTAGCCAATCCGGTGAAACGGGGCGTGCTCCTGGCTCCCCAGGACTTTCACTAATGTGCGTATGATCAGCCCTGTCTCCCAGGGAGGGGCAGGGCTCGCTGTCCCCTCTGTAGCGCATTCCCTTCTTCCCCGGCCAGTCCTTCAGGGAAACGCAGATGCCTTCAGGGAGGAGGCTGACAAGGTCGGATCGGGGTCTTCTTGTGCCCTGGGGTGGCTCTGCTTCGCTGAAATCTCAGGAATCCTGCTTCGAGCTGGGCGAGAGGTGCCCCGCGTTCTTGGCATTTCTCAGGGCCTCCCTCCGCCCTCAACTGCAGCCTTAGCTGATTAGTAACCTTCAGCCTTCAGAGCCTTTATTTTTTCAACTTGAGCATTGTCAAATGTTACTGCAGTTCCCTCTCCCAGGACTTTCTTGCCACTGTTTGGAACCTCACAAATCTATGAACCATATCCTTTCAGAAGTAAGGTCACCCTTCATTAGAGATGGTTCCCTCTGCATGTCCTTTGTCCCTTTAATAGTCAACTGACTTGTTTGAGGAGTTTTGAATGGGGAAAAAAGGGTTACATATGCAGATGACGATTAAATATATAACCTTATGTAACCTGTGCTACTTCCAGTAACAGGCTTATCTAGTTTGTTTCACCGGCTGCTTAATTCAGTATTTTGATGCTTTCCTTCGTCTGTGTTTTATAAAACGTTGCGAATCATGGTATCTTCCAAAAACAATTGACACTGAATAGATTTCATTTCCAAATGATGTATAGACAGGCCCGCAGCTTAGAAACCAGTTGGTTCTGATGTTTCTTGGGTCAGCCCACAGAACCCTCCTGACTTGGGGCACAGCTGAAATTTCGGGTTGTGTCAGCCAGGGCTGGTTGGCTGTTACTGGGGGCTGACCTGGAAACGTAAGCCACCTGTTAGGTGGTTGCTGTGCGAAATGCATTCCAGGTTGGGACTAGGGATCCTGAGTCGCTACCTTGCAAATGGAAGTCCAGTCTCTCCACTGCCAACTCGTAAGGGGAGAGAGGAAGTGAGAAGTTCAAGGACATTCCCTAAGTTGGGAAGTGATTGATCAATATTCATGTCAACTACTTTGTTATAGACGCCCTCTCAATTTAATAATATTAAAAGCCTTAAGTAAAACTATGCATGCTCTATTCTATGTGCTTTTTTATATCAGTAAATAAGCTTATGCTTGGCAGTTTTGTACACAGTTATGAGGTGTATAAAACTGAATTTTGACAGTATTTTTTGCACTGTTTTCTATCTGTTTTTATAACGTCTTATTCCGATACTGGTCCTAGTTGCGTATTGTTTATGTTCTCACTGCCCTTGTCATGGCTGTGAAATGTTTCATATGTGCCTTTACAAATGTGAGATCTTTATTCTAACCTTTTTTTTTTTTTTT